ACACACACACACACACACACACACACACATACACACACACACACACACACACACACACACACACACACACACACACACACACACACACACACACACACACACACACACACACACACACACACACACACACACACACACACACACACACACACACACACACACACACAAGGAGTTTTTTCTTTGTTGATGTCAGCATTTTTTTTGCGTTGATCCAGATCAAGTGTATGGCTTGTAGATGGGACGTGTGACGCAAACCACAAACTGCAAACGGCAGCGGGTGGTGTATGAGAAGGGGGCGGGTCCTCGGGAAAGGTGTCGCAACACACACTTTGCGGTCTCCAGTGGCCTTTGGGGCCATCCTTTCTGGTCTCATCGACATGACGTCTGACCACATCTCAACGCGTTGCTGTTGTAGGTATAGCGGAGATGGCGCGGCTTGTCACGGTGCTTCTTTGGGCCGCTGTGGCAGCGGTCGGGTTGGTTCACGCGCAGCAGGTACCTGCGATTGACGTCGAGGATGGACATCTTGTGTTGACTGCACAGGCCGTCGAGGTGGACAATGGCAGCGTACGCTTCTCGCTGGTTGACGACCACGCGCAGCTGGCGCAGGCCGTCGCCGATGTTGCAGTCCTTCAAAGCCGTCCAGACCCCGAGGTCGGCGATGCCCTCACCATGCCGCAAGTGCAAGCTGCTATCAATACCTCCCTGGAACCATACAGCACCAACGCTGCCACACAGTCGTGGGTGCAGTCCACTCTGGGTGCCTATGCCTCGACGGCCCGCCTGAACAATACCGTGGACGCAGCCCTTCAAGCGGCTCAAAGTGACACCCAGGCCTGGGTAGACAACCGGTTGCTGTCTTATGCTCAGACTACAGCCGTCGCCGCCACTATCAACGCCTCCTTGCAAGACTTTTGGGCCGCTACCGAGCCTAGCGTGCAGGCTTCCATTGCCAGCAGCCTTGCCCCCTATACCCCGACGACTGAGCTGAACGACAAGCTCGCCGCAATTCACGACGACGTGGCGCCGCTAATCAACGCGACCCAGGCGGAGAATATCGCAGCTGCTGCCATTCAAGCATATGACAACGAGCCCAAACCTGTTCGCCTTCTTGCCAGCTCGGGCGCCTGCGATGCCAGCCGCGAGGGCGAACTGGGCATTTCCGGGAATGGATTGGTGAGCGTCTGCCTGAGTGAGACGTGGGAGCCCGTTAGCATGCCGGCGGATGAGTATCCCTCTTGCCGTGCCATCAAAGATGCCTTGTCCACGGCTGTGGATGGCTACTATACGGTGGTGCGCGGTGGCTCGGCACGACAAGTGTACTGTGATATGACTACCGAGGGTAAGTGGCTGTCGGCCCCTCCATTTCAGACTCTCCTTTCGCACAAACGCACACTTCACGCGCCAATGAATTTTGCTAGGTGGTGGTTGGGAGTGGGTTGCCACCAAAGTGACACCAGCGTTTGACGCCATTGGATCCCGAAAAGGAAGCCCGCCCAGCTTGGTTGCCGACGCTGCGGGCCAGTTACCTTCGGACTTTCCTTGGACACAGGTCAGCGAAATCCAAACGCTTGGGCACTGCGCGACTGTTTGTCTTGGCTGAGGAACCTCGTTCAGCACTCACACGCATCACCACGGTGGCACATGCTGGGCATGGACATGTGATTGCGATATCAGGTTCTCTTCCGATTTCAGTCACCGGCACTGGCTAACATCTACACCGTCTACAATCGCGGCGCCAACTCTGGCTTCGACACCTTTCTACAGGGGAGCTTTCAACGCAATCGCATCGTCGACACGGGCGGCTTTTATCGCGTGGTCAACGGCACCCGCTTTCCAGCGACTGGTACCGCGGTCGTCCAACGGCTTCACTATTACACGAATAATGGCGTCTCGGAGTGGCATGGTGGCTCGAACGTTTGGCTCGACCTCTGGCGTTCATCGCCTTCTCTCACCGATAAGCAATACCTTTACAGCGATGACCCTGCAGCCGTTGGGACCAAGTGCATTGCTGGATATTGCTACCTGAATGAACCCGTGTGGTACATGATGCGCGAAGCACCGGCCAATACCGTTCAGTCTTCTTGGCCGCGTCGCCACTGGTCGTCTTGCGCACAGCTAAAAACGTTTGCATCCACGGCAGCACAGCATGACGGCCTGTACGCTATCGAGATCGAAGGTCACATCAAGACGGTGTATTGTGATATGACGACAGCTGGGGGCGGCTGGTACGTGCTCGTGCGCATGGCCCGTTGCTTGCTTCCGCCTGGACTGGCCTTTCGCGCCTGTCGGCTCACCCTATCTTCCCTGGCTTTGCCTCTGATTGGCGACATTGTGGTGACATAGGACCGTCTTTGCGACCAAAGTGACACCGACGTTTGGGGCATTTAGCAACTTTTCGACTGGTCTTCATCTGTCTTCAGCGACGGCCAGTGATAGTGCGGGACACATTCCCTCGCAAGCGCAGTTCAACCAAGTCTTATTTCGCTTTGCAGACAGCAGTGACTATGTTGTTTACACGCGGACGAAGCGCGACAGCACTCTGGACACTTTCTTTCGCGGCACGACCTTGAGTCTCGCCGGCGATGATCAGGGCAGTTGGTATCGAGTGGTTGGCAATTCACGTACGCCGACAACTGGCGCCATGGCAGCCACTGGTACCCTCTCGGCGAGCAATGGCGGCTTGTCCGAGGCCGAATCTGGTGACTATCGCTGGGTCAACATGGCTGTCGTGGCGGGAAGTGGCGCACGTGCCGTGTCCGTGGACAACATTACGGCTGCCAACACCAAGTGCATCGGTGGTGAGTCACGCAGCTGGTCGCGGCTGGTGGCGTCTGGGCCTCTGCTTGGTTGCGAGCTCAATTTGTCTGACTTGTTGTAACTTTGCACGTGCATGGGTGGGCTGGCGTGTTGATGACATGGGTTGGGCTCTTGATGCGATGTAGGTGTGTGCCGCAGAGATGGCGTCATTCTTGTTGCGTATCGTGACGCGGCCAGTGCCAGCATCGGCGAGCCCGTGGACAGCATATGGCAGTCTTGCTCAGAAGTGCGCTTGGCGGAGAAGGTCGAGACCTCGGGATTGTATCCCATCAGTACCAATGGTCGCACCATCCAGACGGCTTATTGCGACATGACGGTGCAGGGTGCGTCGGTCCTTTCCATTGCATTTTTGGTTGGCGTTAACGTTGGGGCTTGACGCTCGATGGTTCTCGAATGTAAGGGCTTCTCATACTTTGATCGTGTGCTGTGGCGATGAAATGTTTGGCATTGGTGTATCTAGGCGGTGGATGGACCTTGTTTGCCACCAAGGTCTCCACCAACTTTTTGTTCACGGTCGGGCTCAACGATCCGTCCAGTCTGAGTTCGCCGGATCGCAACATGGCCGGTTCAATCCCTGACACCAGCATGTACAATGAGATTCTTTTCCGCTTTGCGGGCATCGACAACTACTACGTCGTCTATCAGCGTACCCAGTTGACGCCGTTTGATCGCTTCCTGTACGGCGAGGACATTGGTACATCTCCAGATGTTTATGGCTTTTATCGCGTGGGCAATGGTGTGCGCTACCCATCGTCCGGCGTGACCACTTTCCCAACCATGCATCTGTATCAAACCAGCGGTATTTCTGAACAACACGATGGTGGCTCGGATCTTTGGGTCAACATGTGGAGTGGCCGCGATGCCTCAGACAACTACCTGTCATCGGACACGGCTGCGGCAGAGGGCACCAAGTGCCTGGCTGGCGTGTGCCGTCAGGATGATCCAATCATGCTGATGTTTCGCACCAACCTGGATGCTGAGCAGGTGTTGCATGCCGATCAATGGCCCATGTATCCTCGTTATTCGAGCTGCTGGGAAATTTTGCAGCAGACGGGTGCTTCCCAAGATGGCATGTACATGATCATGCGCCAGGGTGTGGGTATGATGACCTACTGTGACATGACCACGGAGGGAGGAGGCTGGTGAGTCGTGATTGAACAGGGCTGGTGCACCCGGCACATGGAGAAGGGAGAAAGGAGGATAGATGGCGGCTATGTTTGTGCTGACAGTGTGCTGGTGATGTTGTTGTAGGACGTTGTTTGCCACCAAGGTCTCCCCCACTTTCAGCCCCATTATTACGGAGAAGGCACCTGCTCCACCGGTGCAGCTTGCAACAGACATGGCGGGCAACGTTCCACGCGGTACTGGCTATCGTCAAGTGCTCTTCCGCTTTGCTACGGTGACTGACGTGTACACGGTATACTCGCGCCGTGAATCTGACACGACCGGTTTTAGCGACTTTCTCATGGGTGCGGACAAAAGTGGAAGTGGCGTGAGTGTTCAGGATTTTCATACCGTGCGCTATGGCTCTCGCTACCCCCGGGAAGGGCCCGCATCGGCAGCCTCGGCACTCCCTCTCTTCTGGGGCCCCAGCGGCATCACAGAGCACTTTTCCGACGGGACTGATGCTGTGATCGGGCTCTGGGCGTCATTGGATTCTAGCAACAACTACCAGTACTCGGACAGTGCTGACGCCATTGGGCGCAAGTGTGTGGCTTCGGTTTGCCTCTTGAACGAGCCTGTTTTGTTTTTGTATCGTTAGCCACGGTGCTGCTCTTCGTTCTGCTCCACTTCTTGGATCAGGTTTCCCAGCATTTGTTGTGCTTCTCAATGTTATAGACGTGTGTCTCGACTAACATAATAATTTTGCGAGCATACGTTCACAACGAATGAATGACATCAACAAGATGTTTGAGAGACATATACAAGGACATGTATTGTAATTCTGATTGGGGGACCTGACCTGTTGATGTTTTCTGGGGCTACATCCGGATGTAGTACCTTGTGACTTTTCATATCTTCTTGATTTGTCGTAGTGTGGGTGGTGTGTTGTAAGGTTCTGTCTGTCCTTTGCCTCGGTATGAGTGAGAAATGGCTTTACATGTTCAATTGCTTTTCTTCTTGAAAGCAAGAGCAGAGCGCCGCACCAACCCAACGCCCAGATCGTAGAGATGGAGCGCCCGTGGTGCATCGCCGCCGTCATGTGCTCGGGTCGGCGAGACCGAGAGCTAGAGCCAGCGTGGTAAAGTTGGGCCAGATCTAGGGCTAGAGCTACAGCTAATTTACATGGTTACAGCAGCTCTGCCAAGGACAGCTTTCACGGGACTGGATAAACGCGTATAGTCGGTCGGTCCGCTTGAGACGCCGTGCAAAGAAACGCAAACGATATTTCTTTGTTCAATGCAAGTAAAGGTCGGGCGCCAGCACAACTTATCGGGCTGCCTCTAACCGGCGAACAGCTGCTTGAACTTGGCGTGTATGCGGGTGTGCCTCCCCCAGCGTTGCCAAAAAAATCTGCAACGCCTTGCCGTAGTACTCGAGCGCCTGCTCGTACTGGCCCTGGTTGTCGTAGACAAAGGCCATGTTGTTGTAGGAACTGGCCGTGCCCGGGTGTGCCTCGCCCAGCGTCGCCAATTGGGTGGTCAACGCCTTGCCATAGTACTCGAGCGCCTGCTCGTACTGGCCCCGCTTGGAGTAGACACCGGCCATGTTGTTGTAGGTGGTGGCCGTGTCTGGGTGCGCCTCACCCAGCGCCGCCAATTGGATACTCAACGCCTTACCGTAGTACTCGAGCGCCTGCTCGTGCTGGCCCTGGTTGTCGTAGACAAGGGCCATGTTGTTGTAGGTAGTGGCCGTGACCGGGTGCGCCTCGCCCAGCGTCGCCAAAAAGATCTGCAACGCCTTGCCGTAGTACTCGAGCGCCTGCTCGTACTGGCCCTGGTTGTCGTAGACACTGGCTATACTAGTTGTAGGTGATGGCCGTGTCCGGGTGCGCCTCCCTCAGCGTCGCCAATCGGATCTTCAACGCCTTACCGTAGTACTCGAGCGCCTGCTCGTACTGGCCCTGGTTGTCGTAGACAAGGGCCATGTTGTTGTACGTACTGGCCCGTGCGGGTGCGCCTCGCCCAGCGTTGCCAAAAAGATCTGCAACGCCTTGCCGTAGTACTCGAGCGCCTGCTCGTTCTGGCCCTGGTTGTCGTAGACACTGGCTATACTGCTAGGTGATGGCCGTGTCCGGGTGCGCCTCCCTCAGCGTCGCCAATCGAATCTTCAACGCCTTGCCGTAGTACTCGAGCGCCTGCTCGTATTGGCCCTGCTTGTCGTAGACACTGGCCATGTTGTTGTACGTACTGGCCGTGTGCGGGTGCTCCTCCCCCAGCGTTGCCAATCGGATCTTCAACGCCTTGCCGTAGTACTCGAGCGCCTGTCGTACTGGCCCTGGCTGTCATAGACAACGGCCATGTTGTTGTACGTACTGGCCGTGTCCGGGTGTGTCTCCCCAGCGTCGTCAATCGGATCTGCAACGCCTTGCCGTAGTACTTGAGCGCCTGCTCGTACTGGCCCTGGTTATCGTAGACAAGGGCCATGTTGTTGTACGTACTGGCCGTGCCCGGGTGCACCTCGCCAACCGTCGCCAACCTGATCTTCAACGCCTTGCCGTAGTACTCGAGTGCCTGCTCGCACTGGCCCTGGTTGTCGTAGACAAGGGCCATGTTGTTAAAAGTGGTGGCCGTGTCTGGGTGCGCCTCACCCAGTGTCGCCGATTGGATCTTTAACGCCTTGCCGTAGTACTCGAGTGCCTGCTCGTACTCGCCAAAGTCCCTCAAAACCCTTCCAACCTGCATGCAAAAGTCTGCAAACCCCGCCTCCTCGCCGTCCTCCACCTCTCGCGCTCTGGCCGCCACAAGCGCCTGCTCCAGGCACCACGCCCGCAGCTGAGCCTTGATTTGGGCGTTCAGCTCCGAAAAGCCCACCGTCGCCTCCACCGTCTTGAAGATCATGGCCCGATCGCTGGCCTTGAACGCCTCGGCCTTTTGCGCCTGCACCCGCACCAGCATGTCCATCACCTCGTCGCCGTCCTGTGCCAAAGCGCCCACAAACCCGTCGACCTCGGCCTCGGGCAGCCGAATGTCCAGCTGCACCTGCCCGTTCAAGGCGTTCATCATCTCAAACAGGCACCAGGCCCGCGTCATCGGCACGGGGTCACGCCAAGGGGTCATGACCAGTAACACCCGGCCAATCTGCTTGATGTTCTCCTGAAACGTCTTGCACCACCTGCCACACCCAACGCCCCGTCAGTAATCACGGCCAGCCCGCAAACAGACAAGCATCGAGAGACGTACCACTCGTAGGGGAGGTCGGCAGCAACGTGTTGGTTGTTGGGCACGAGGTCGAGCCAGTAGTAGGCGCCCGGTGCCTCCGTGCGCTCGTGGTACAGCACCGTGGCCAGGGTCGTGGCAAAGCTGTACTTCCAGGCATGAGAGACGAACACGGTGGCTGCCGCCAGGTGGGGCCGCTGTGCAGGGTCTTCGAGAAGCAGGTCGACCCAGGCGCAGGCACGGGCCTTGGTGAGCGGCATGACGTAGCGAGAGCAAATGTCCGAGGTGGTGAGCTCGTCAAACTCGCCATCAAACTGCTGGCGGAGTTGGGTCTCGAGTCCTCGGAGAAAGGCAGCGCTCACCCCAAGCAGGGCGCGCTCCGAGCCTGGGATGGGGATAGGGGTTTAACGGCCATCAGTTGGTGGGGGGGCAGGGGCGGGTGTGGAGAGAGAGAGAGAGAGAGAGAGAGAGAGAGAGAGACAGAGACAGAGAGAGAGAGAGAGACAGAGAGAGAGAGAGAGAGAGACAGAGACAGAGATAGAGACGGGGCCCACCTTGGGCGGATCGCCTCTTGTCCGGCTCTGATAGCAGCCCATGACGGAAGAGACCACAAAGTGGGCGTGTCCCACGGCGAAAAACACGGCCGACACTTGTAAGCGAGCAAGCACAGTCAGCGCCAGTCTGAATGTCACAAGGCATGACGCATGACGTCAAAGGGTATAGTGCAAGATTGTTTTTCTGACGAAAGCACAACCATGTACGACGACTGCCATAAAAGTCTGACATTATCATTTCGTTAAAAAAATACATCCTGTAAAATTAAAAAATGAAATTAAGGAGAGCGATCAAGAGATCTCATTTTTTTTTTTTTGTTGTGAGCACGTGAAAAGTTGGAAATCGAGGGGCGGGGCAGAGGAGCTTGATAAGGGCAACGATTGCAGCGAAAGCACGGGCAGCCGTGTGTCGAATCAGTTTGTGGCCCAATGGAAAGGACTGAAGCCGGTAGTGTCTCAGAGGCACTCATCATGTCCGGATCTCGACATTCAGAAAGCCATGCCGCCATGTTTCGGCGCGCCCCCGTGGTCATTCTTGTCCTGACTTTGGTCGTTGGGGTGACGCTGGTGCTGGACTTTTCAATCTCACGTGGTCTCAAGCATGACACTGGTGGCCTGGTGTACGTTCCTGTGTGTGTGAATTGACTGAAATGCACGAGCACGGGCACGGGCACGGGCACGGGCATGCGTACTTGCAGCGTCCACTGTCAGCCTCGATCTTTTGCTCACCGACCTGCTGTTCACAGCTGGCCGTACATCTCTGACACGGGCCGGGACAATCCCGAACACATCATCTTTGCAATCGGTACGGCGCGGCAGGACTTCATCTTTAATCTAGCCGAATCTTGTGGATCCTAGTGTTGCTCATACGCGGGTGCACGCGTTTAGGCATGACGATTGCGGCGCTGCTTTACATGTACATTATGGTGGCCATCCGTGCGCTCTTGCTCAGCAACAAAGAAATGGCCGAGTCATCATGGCGATGGTACGTGCTTTAGCTGCGAGTCATTCCGTGAAAACCTAGACCGCGCATTTTCCGCGATTGCCTGCAGAGGATGCCGCCTGGCAATTTCCTGTTGAACCGCTTCATACAGGCTGACATGTGCTTCTCTCGTCATCCCAATCATTCTGCAACAGGCGCACAGCCGTGGTCATGGGCATGCAGCTGTTGGCTGGCGCGTGCCTGGCAACGTTAGCCATCTTCGACACGCGCGACTTTCCGACCACACATCTCATCTCGTATGTGTTTTCCCGTGTGGCGAGTTTGTTCTTAAATTTCCTCCCGACTTGTGCCAGCTGCATGATTCGTCGTCGCGTCGCAATGGGGCACGTTCAAACCGCAAGTGGGTTGGCATGTCACACACTCAATCGCATGTCATTGTAGAGCCATCCTATTTTTCGTTTTTGCTATCATTGGGCACACAATCTTGCTCTTTGCGTTCCGGCGGTTTGCTGCCCTCGGTAAGCAGGGGTGCAAGGCGGACGGCTGGAATCTATGAATGGACTACGGCACGCCTGGCCCAGAGAGCAAAAACGAAGCCATTCTTGCGATGCCAGGTGTTGTTCATGCTGACACGAGCGTCTCTCGATGGGTGTTGAACTGGGTGCAGAGGGAGGCTATACGGCCTCATTGCGCCTCAAGATGGTGATGTGCGCCGTCATCTGGATCCTCTTCATTATTTACATTCCCATCGGGCTCCCGCTGGCCAAATCGGAATACGTCGAGGTGGGATCGCACCAAATGTTTGCGTCTTGTTCTGGCAGCAAGGGCCCACCTCAAGCAATTCAAGCCAGCAGCCCGGCCAGCATCATCCACGTCGAGACATCTCATGGGCATGGCGCATGCGTCGAACACTAGGAAACCAAGCTGTATGATTACTCCATGGACAAGGGCACAAACCTGATGCGCAGCATTTCCCAGGTCAGTATCAAACCAACTTGGCGATGTTCAGATGGGGCGCAAATGGCACCCTTTCCTCACATCCGCTTCTCCTGTCGGACGCTTGTCTGCATGATCTGGGGTCTGGACGGTATCCGGCGACATTTGAGAAAGTTCTTTACCGTGGTATCGCTGATTGTGTACCTTGACACGTGGATCGGGGACTTTCGCCGCGCCGCAGTCGATCCCGTGGCAGCGTGATGGAGATCAAAGCTTGCCAAAGCGTGACAAGCTTGGCTGGAGGAAAGATAACATCTCAAAACGAATAACATCATCGCGTTGGCAGTTTGAGTCGTTGGCCAACTATTCCATGTGCACGAGTTGAACACATTCATCCTCCCCTGCTTCACACCCCAACGGCTGAACGGCTGATCAGTCCACAAACCTCTCACTCCTTTCGGTGCCAGATAGCTAGCCATTGCCGTTGCTGTTGGATCAGTTTTGCTATGATGAGTTGCAAATCTTGCATGTGTGTGTGTGTGTGTGTGTGTGTGTGTGTGACGTAAAGTTTTCCAAAAAAAAAGGAGGAGTTCGAAAACAAAGGATCAAAGGAGTGATTCAAGGTTGGCAGCAAAGAGTTTGCGGTTGGCAATGGCAGAGCAGGCGACAGATGGCCGTGGAAAAACCATGCTTGCTCGTCTGAACAATTCAAGTTGGCTGTACTGCCGAGCACTGCTCCATTCCCTTGCCTCTGCTTCTGCATGGATCCCCGCTGCCCTTGAACGTCCCCTCCCTAAAGTCCTTTTCGAGATGTCTCTCATGTTTTCTTTCCTTCCTTTTGTTGTTGTTACTTTATTGAAGACTATACAGATGTATTTGAAGAACAGGTAAGCCTGGTAAGGTAGAATAAAAAGGCACGTGAGAGGAGTTATTGTATAAAATATCAAGGTTTGTGCAGATATAACACGGCTGCTTGTTGTTGTTGTTGGATCGTGCGCATTTTCTTGTTTCAGGTCACTGGGATTTGGGCTTGGGCGCGAGATGGTGGCAGGCTGCTCAAATCCGGGGATCCGTGCCCCCTCTCCCACCCGCCTCCCCCTCCCGCCTCGATGCGGGTTTCATCTGTGTCGGGTTGCAATTCTTGCTCATCTCTGTCCCTATGTAAATGCCTGTGTTTGAATTTCGGCGCGTGTTTTGCTGCTGGTTAGAGAAACGACGATCATGTCGCCCTTGAAACTGTTGGTGGCGATTGCGGCCTGTGGCGCCGTCGCCGCGGCCTCCGACTGCAAGTGCGGGCCCTTTTCGTACGCCGATCCATCAGGCATCATCAACCCCACGGGTGTAAGCTCTTCTGCCGTGCTGCTCCTGCTGTTGTTCCTTGGAAGCCGTGCACGCGCAGCAGCACCGTCTTTGCCTCACAGCGCATGTATTCCGCAGTACTTGGTGGGTGTCGATTATCCCGGCAACGATATGGCCCCCTGCGGATCAAACGGATGCAAGATGGACAGCACGTCTGATCATTTGGATTGCGAGTCACTTTGCAATTCGACTAAGAATTGCAATGCCTATGTGTTTGACAACTGCTCCGACGGCCCCATTTGCTGGCTCAAGGTTTGATCGATCACACACGCGAGCGATCCCTTTCACCATTTGGTTCTCTGTGTGCTTGCTCCACCGCACGTCTCAACCTTTGGGTTTCATTATTATCGTTTTTCTTTTCTCAAGAGCTATGCAGATCCTCGCAACGGCAACCCCAACAAGTGCCGCAACTCGCGCATCCTGCAAGCCATTCCCACTGGTCCTTATTGTGCCATGACCTCAAAGTGGGCCGCTGATGGTGCGCTAAAAATTGTGCGCGCTTCCGCCGTTTTTGAGCTTTTCCGGGCGCAGTCGTGCCTCATGTGGTCGGGTTCTCTCGGGTTCTCTCGTGTGCACGCAGTTGACCCCGAAAACACCCTCCCTGCCTATCCTCGCCCTCAAATGGTGCGCGATGTGGAGTGGGCCAACCTCAACGGCATGTGGCAGTTTGAGGGTGCCAACAGCATCAGTGTACGTTCATTCGTTCTGATGAATCCCTCCCCGGGCTTGTGCCTTGCATGATTATGCTTGTGGGCCTTATTCTCGGCGCCGATCCCGTGCCATTGATCACACTGTTGCTGCTTACTGGATCCCCAGTCGGTACAAAACCCGCCGTTCGGACAAACTCTAAACAGCAGCATTCTTGTGCCGTTCCCGACCGAGTCCTGCCTGAGCGGCCAATGGAAAAACTACCAAAACATGTGGTACCGTCTTCTCTTCGAGGCACCAGCTATGCCTGACGGCGGCCGCCTGCTGCTTCATTTTGGCTCTGTGGACTGGATGACCGTGGCCTTTGTCAATGGCAAGCAGGTCGGCAACCACACTGGTGGTTATGACCCCTTTACCTTTGACATCACTGAGAGTGTCGGCAGCGGCAAAAGTGAGCTGCTCATCTTTGTCAACGACCCCAGCGATTACGGCCGTCAATGTTTTGGCAAGCAACGCATTAGGTCTGGACCGCCCCCTTCCCCCTCCCTTTGGCCATTCACGACTTGCTCTGTGATGTTTGCCTGTGCTTTCTGGCGCTCATATCCTCTGCTTGACCTCGTGCAGCGCCATCACATCGCCGGGTGGCGATACCTACACACCCAACAGTGGCATTTGGCAGACCGTCTGGCTTGAACCTGTCCCGGCCAATCACATTGATGTGCGTGTGCGCTTGTGCGGTTACTTTCTTCTTTGCTTCGGACGCCACTTCCCGCCGTGCGCGTCGTTGTGTTGTCGCGGCTTTCCTTCAGGGCTTTGACTTGCGCGCGACCTGGGATTTGGCTGCCTGCCAGGCTAGCACGGTTCTCATGCTGCTGTGCGCTTGACATTCGTGGCCTTCACCCTGATAGTCGTATAAGCTCACACCTTCCCTGACCGCCATCAACATCTCGGTGGCAACGACGAGCTCGACCAACGTGTCCATCGTCGTCTTCAACGAGTCTGGCGTCGTCACCAACGGTTCCTTCCCCTCGGGCCAGTGGACCAACCTGGAGATTCCCAGCCCGCGCTTGTGGTCGACCGAGGACCCGCACCTTTACAACTTTACCTTGACCATCCCTGGCGGTGATAGCGTGCAGGGCTATTTTGGTCTGCGTACCTTTACGTGCGTTTATGAAAATCATCACGTCCGCTTGGGGTTTTGTGACACCTATTTTGTGACCATGTCGTCGTGTTTTCTGTAGCCTTTGCTCGGATGCAAGCGGCACCACTCGTCCTTGCCTCAACAACAAGCCCATCTTCATGGCTGGCTGGCTTGATCAGTCTTACTGGCCCGATGGCATCTACACAGGTATGGATGTCTTGCACGTCTTCAATTTGTTTTCTCTTGTTGAATTGCTTTGAGACTCCTCACGTTGGCCCAAACCTGATTTGGCTTTGCAGCACCAACTGACGAGGCATTGAAGTTTGATGTGGCTGCCGTGCATACGTATGGCCTCAACATGATCCGTCTGCACCAGAAAACCAACCCGCAGCGGTGGTACCATTTTGCTGACCAGATGGGCATCATTGTCTTGCAGGCAAGTCCATGACGCCCTCGGATTTGAATGTTTTGTATGCGTGATGCATGTCTCTGTTTGCGTGGTTGATGGTCTCTGATTCTGAACCAATTTGGACTTCATGGTTTCTCAGGATATGGTGCAACACTACGGTGATGTCCATGGTACCACCCCGGACCCGAACCTGTACATGCAGGACCTCAAGGCCATGATCGATACTGTCTGGAACCACCCATCGGTGGTGCAGTACGAGGTTAGTTGGGAGCTGATTCCAAACCTTTCCAGTTTTGCTTTCCAAATCTCGACCAGCAGGTCCTTGCTCATCTTATTTTCATGCTTGCTCACTTTGCCCTTCAGGCTTTCAACGAAGGCGACATGGTCAGCCACTTTGACGCGCCTTCGGTTGTCAACTGGATCAAGGCCTATGATCCGTCACGTTTGGTGGACACCAACTCGGGTGGTCCAGCCAACAACTTGCGCGTGGGCGACGTGAACGACGTGCACAACTACCCCTATCCTCAGCATCCTGATGCCGACCACGGCCAGTATGGTAGGTAGCTCAAACCCCTGTTCTTCAAACGTCAAAGATTTTGCACGCAAGGTCCAACCTGGTCTACCGATTGTTTTGGTTTTGGACTGACCTGTCTTTGCTCCCACTCGAAATTTTCACCTCCTTTAGCCATGATCGGGGAGTTTGGCGGCGTGGGTGCCTTTGTGGATGGCAAAGAATGGTGGCCCAACAAGTGCGGCACCTATTTGCACGTGGATACGCCATCCGAAGAAGCTCAAACTTACATCAACATGACCCTCACCATGCTGCAAAACCAGCCCCTGTCGGCATCTGTTTACACTCAAATCGTTGATGTGGAGCTCGAGTGTGATGGCTTTTTGAACTACGACCGCAGTAGCAAGTTTTCCGATGAGGATGTGCAGGCCGTTGCCAAAGCTAACGCAGCCCTCATCAAGAAGCTCTGAACTTCTTGAGCATGCTCGAGGGACGCCAATTGACGGTGCCTTGATAATTGGGGATAACAACTTGAGACGCATCAATTGCCATCTTAACTCTCTTTTGACGATGTATCACAAGGGACGCCACCAAAGATGGGTTTGAGCCATATCAGATAACGGGCACAAACACAAAATGGGGATCATCAGGATCCTGAAGTTCCTGCGCATGTTCGATTCGTTGTCCTGAGCGCTTAACCTGGCGTCAGCATAAGACAGAGGGAATGAGAATGGCCGCATATTTTGTGTTCCAACTGACACAGCAGAAAGTGCAATGGCTGGGCTTACCCGGTGAAAGAGCATGCCGCTGACGTGGCCATGAGCTGGCAACAGCTCGTTGGTTTCGTCATCCATGTAGTAGAGCTGGGACAATAAACATGAAAATGCGTGAGAAAAGGCTGTCCACCACCAACGGCCAAGACATTGGCACGAGGCCATGGGAACATACATCCGCGGCTGGGCCGTTGGTGCCGGGCATCTCCAGGCCATCACCGGCGTGGTCCCACGCCATGTCAAACAATGGGTTGGCGCGATCCACCTGAGATGCACCCAAGAAGCTTGTGCGTGAGCAAGCATGTTACGTGCCACAAGCAAGACCAGGGCCAACCAGGCAGGCAGGCATGTTCACATACGTTTTCAAAAAAGGCGTTGCCATGAGCCAAATCCGGCGGCAATTGAACTGCAATGGTACAAAATGAGCGCGCGTGCATTCAACTGGAAGGCAGACATTTTCTTTTAACATTGTGGCAATGGGTGCACACGCAGACCTGAAGTGTCGCTGTGTTGTGATGGCAGTCGGCCATGCGGAACGGCAAGGTGGGTGCTGGAGAATTCACGCGAGCTTTCGCGAGACCAAGCCGGCACTTGATGATGACCCTATAGCAGATGCAGAATGTGAATGGCCTGCCAGTGTATGCAGCCAAGTGGGAGCAGATTGTCATTGCAAAGTCGCTCGGCAGCTTACGCCACGAAGGTCTTGGGCAGACTTTTTAATGCTGCGGCCCAGCGTGTTGTTTCCCATGTGTGTCCGCAGGCCTGCCATGCGCGGCGCACTTTGCGCTGTCGCAGCATCAACCTCGTACACATTCTGCAGAGAGGCCACGGGCAAATGAACAGAGCATTACAGGTGCAAGGTCAGGTGAAGTGGAGGGAAGTGGAAACTCAACAAGTCCATCAAATTTTATTTCGCACCTTGTTCAAGAGCTGCTCGGGAATGGGTGACTCTGAGAGGTCAGCCAATTCTGAGCCTCCGTGATGAATCGCCGTCATGGTGGTCGAATTGGAGTGAGTGGAGTGAGCTGAGCGCAGACTGCGACCATGCCCGTGCTGAGACACCAGACTTTGCTTTGAGTGTGCTGATGGTGGGGAGCACACGAGAGAACATGTCAGCAACGGCAAACTTTCAGCTGTGAGAATGGCCAGCTCGCGCAAAAACCCGGCGACTGACCTCGCGACATGGCCTGCGCCTGCATCAGACTTGGGTGTACATTGGTCGAGCTATGCGACATGATAAACTGCGATGGTCGCGGCACCAGCTATCGCGCGAGTACCCAGCGTGACCGCAGGCTTTTGAGGCCGAGGCCAGACCAGAAATCAGGGACCTTGATGCCTTGCAACTCCAAACGAACCTTGGGCTTGGACCCTGAGCGCGAACTCGCTTGGCTGAGGCGGTGGTCACCAGCATCCTGGAAATCTGTGCAGTACATACAGTCGGCATTTGTTGTTGCTCAGGTGCCGAGCGCTGCTCGCGTGTGTGCCGGAATTCCAACACGGCATACCTTCTGCTTGAATACCTCGCTCCTGAAAGCCGCGCAGCTCCTCCTGCCACACCCATTGATATAGATTTGGTGAGTATAGGCGGCAGAAACAAGGATACTCGGTGCTCGGAAAACTGTGAGACATGTGCCCGGACTCACGCTCAAAGCCGACAGCAGATCTTCAAAGTCCGGTCGTGAGCTAGGGCCCATGTGCCAGCAGCTGCGCATGATGCGGTAACTAGACATGCCCGTGCCCCAAGCCGATCGAGTGAGCTTGAAGCCACGCTGCCGAGCACGGATGAAAGGTGAATTGCAATAACCAAGTGTCTGGCTGGTGCATACATTGAAGCTGGGCATTCCTTGGGGCGGTGCATAATGTGGCCTCGAGGTACCTATGCAAACATGACAGGGTTTGCCGTTATGAAAAGCGCGGCCAGATGGGGATGCAGAGGCTTGCTTCTGGTTTTCACCGGGCAAACATACCTGGTGACATACGTCACCGTTGGAGAGATCTGCATAGGGCTTGCTTGCAAAGGTCATGCATTCAAACAACAGCACGCCAAACGACCAGACTGCCCAGGCGCGTCGTGAGTAATGATCAGACACCGGTGCTATCTATTGCTGGTCGGTTGCGTGGCCCCGCCGCCAAAAGCAAATAAAACCAGATCAGGACCATCCTACCGTCAGATTTGTTACTAAACCGCGCTTCGGTCAGCACCTGAGGCGCCATCCAGCGCACGTTCAGGATGTTCTGTCCATTTTGCATGTCCATGGGGCTTTGGTTCACCATGGTCGAAGCGTCAAAGCCGCTGATTTTGGCAGTCATATTTTCATGAACCAGACAGTTTCTACGAGGCGATGGTGTTTTGCGTGGATTAGTGGGCCATCATCTAGGTCATTGGCAGGCGCAGTGCACGAGCAGCAAACCTGGCGCAGAGATCCCGGTGCACAAACTCTTGATTTGCCAAGTAGGCCATGCCACGAGCAACATCTGCTGCCATCTTGATGCGGTCCAGAAGGTTCAGGTGGGGCGAATCTTGGCCTAAAAACGCAACGCGCCAGGTTTCTTATCTAGCGAGGAGAGAGCGAGCCGTCGTGACGGGAAACGAGGCGATGGCCATACCTTGACTGGGCCGAGCGTTACGAAGCACGTGCTGAAGCGAGCCGCGTGAGCAAAACTCGGTGACAACCATGAGGGTCTCCGAGTCCCAGCAGAGACCAAGGAAACGCAGCACCTAAAGGGGCCGAGAAGAGAATGCCGTGACAGTAGCAAAGAGGAATGTTGCTTGTTAAGCTTTGCGCAAGTTGTTCTTGTATGGGGTGCGTGGATGTGTGTGTGTGTACGTGCGCTTCATGTCATCCTTTTGGCAGAGCAACACGGCACTCACATTCATGTGATGCGGTACGGCGTAGGCCCGCATGATTCGGGCTGCAATAACAAAGTTGGAGTACTCGGGTGAGCCAGGGGGCATGGAGCAAGCCTTGACGGCCACCTGATGGTTTGGCGAGTACCGGAACGTGGGCAGCTGTGAGAACTGCAATGCAAGTGCTGGAGACGGGAGTTCCTACGCGTGGTGGAAGCCGTGCATCACCTCGGCATTGTCAAATTCTCGGATGTGGTGCCCAGTTGCCTGGTAGATAAAACCGAAATGCCCGCGGCCCAGTTCAGGGCCAAGAAAAAGCTACGAGAAATGATGTGCATATGTGAGTGTTGATACTGTGGTCGTGATGCAGAGGAAAAATCGGTGTTTCCATCAGGATGCTACAAGATGATGACCCTAACCCTAACCCTAACGCTAAAGCTTTCACGCACCTGCTTGGAGCTGAGACACCAATCATCAAATTCGGTAATGAGCTCTTGTCGGACACGCTTGGAGCTACGTGGGCCCCCAAACAGATCTGCATGGCTTTTCTTGGACAAAGCTTTCAGACCGATGGCAGTTTCTCGGCCTGATTCATGCCCCGTTTTTATCGCAAAGCGTGCAGGGGATTACACGGGATGAGATGTAGAGTTACGCAGTAGCAGCAGTGTACGTTCGGGGACATCAAGCAAGGACGGGGGCGAGGTTGTTACCGGAGTAAGATTGTTCTCGGTTGAGAAGCCAAGCCGAAATGGCAATACAAGCCAGAAGTAGCACCGCTAACGGCCATTCCCATGCGATGAGTGGGAAAGGCCTTTGGGAGGGGGTGAAATTGGGAGAAAGACGCAAATTCGCGTCATGTGTGGTGGCGTACCTGCAGCACCCACAAAGGCAACGCCAGCCTCGCTCGCAAACCAGTTGCAGGCTTTGCGAAACGATTCCAGTTCTGGATGACTGGCTTTGACTGAGGGAAAAAACAAAAGAGGCGAGCAAGGAAAACACCGTCATGAATGGGTGTACATTAAAGGACATGCCATGTAGAAAAGGGCCAGTCTTGCTGGATCAAACCGCGTACGTTCAATGTATTGGATCTTGAACTGGGGGCTCGTGGAGCCACTCTGACCCGTGTAGAAGGAGCGATAGTTGCCCGAGCGCTCGGCAGCATCGTCTCCATCGCCTGCAGCGAACAGATGGGGGCCCATGATAATGAGCAGCACAAAAGCTAGAGGACGAGAAAATACAACTTCAGTCTGAGATGCCCACCAAGCAAGATTAAGATCGAATCGCCAGGGTTCCAGTTGTCTTGCTTGAGAAAGGCCCGCAAAGCGCTACCAAAGCGTGATTGATAATGTGATTCGTCATGAGGTGAACGCTTTGGCACCTGGTCCATGACAACACGGACCGCGTGGGGCTGGCAAGTGGCCGTGTAAACTGACCGACGCAGAGATGGGGTGGCGTAGGTCTGGACCTCGAGCGAGCCGAAATCTGAGGGCTTCCAGTAGACCTCGGTGCCTGGCAAGATTTCTTTGACATCGGCAGAAGGCATCAGTTGCATCTCCAATTGACAGCGAGATTGAAAGATGGCCGATCGGATGGGAAGCGGGTATGTGTGCTTCCAAGGTGCGCGACAAACCGCGTGCGGTGAGGTCTCGGTCGGCGGTGGTCAGGACGGTGCTCGCGTTGGCGGTGGCAAAGGCAATACGGATGGAGCAGTTGCCAAGGCTGCCCGTGTTGGCTGGGGCAGCCAGCTCAAACGCTGCATGTGAGATGATGGCCTGACGGCTCAGATCAAAGGTGTTGAACCTGGTACGGCAAGGAGTTTTAGACCGGAGTGAGAGTCGTCGCTGTTGGGGCAAGGCGCATGAGTTTACTCACCGAAAGGCGGCAAGGGTGGCAAAGGTGTTGAGGGCGTTGTTGGGGACGGTGGCAATGAGGGGGGAGCCTGCAATGGTATCGTTGGTTTCCGTGCTCACAGCTGGACTTTGCAGGATCAGCGTGCGCTTGCCTGAGTCGCACCACGGTAGCAAAAATTGTCAATTGGGGGGTCGGTCGCTATGAGTGAAGAGAGTTTCGCCGTCCTTGGCAGCTCTGACGCACCTGCTCGACTAGGAACGACAATGAAGGCCACCACGAAACTCAGAAGCAGTGCATTAGAGGCGCGCATCTCTCTGGTTGGAGATGGCGGCGTGATTCGTCGCGATGTTGTCCTTGATGTACGCTCAGCCAGCTCGCTGAATTCTCACACACTCGGAAAAAAAAAACAAGGCAAAAAAAGTGCAGAAGCGCGAACACCCTTTGTACCACGCTTATCGCCCACCCACTTTCCCTGCCTGTGGACATTCAAAGCCACCAAACCTGAGCGTGGAAGCAGGCGGGCCGGGCCGAGGGGGGAGGTTTGCACGGAACAGCGCGCATTCCTCTCTCTCTCTCTCTCTCTCGTCCGGATGTCCGCCACTTCTCGATTGCGCCATTCTTACGTCACAAAAATGATGACATTCCATCGGATGTGAGAAATGCTCGCGTAAGCAGTGAGAATACCGAAATATGCGGTGCGGTGAGCAGCACGCGCGCTGCAACTGCGAGCGTCACCTCAGCGTCATTTGGTGTGGCATAACCCGGTTAAAGTTGTCGACCTCAGTCAGTTTACTTTGCCGAGGTCAGTGAACTTGCCACACACACACACACAAACACGGAGCACACAGACGCAGTGGGAAAAGGGCAGCGTGCCATCAATCAGCCCTTGGAGGTGAGGCTGGGTGGGGCTGGCTTTGCTTTGAGCAGATGCTGCTACCGCGTCTCGTGATGGGTTGATCGGGTTTGCCAAGTCAATCCAGTCGTCCCATTTCGTTTGGTGTGTCAGTGGAGCAAACCCATCGGGCAGTGACAACAAACGGGCAGGCAGCCGCTCTGAGCGTTGTACAGCCTTCTGGCACAACGTCCGACCGCGTCTTGCTCTGCTGTCACGCAATCGGGGCATGACACTCTTTGTGGAGCATCAGTCATCTGCCCAGACATCTTTTGACCACGAGCACCTGACTGACGTGGCTCTTGCAATTGACTTGCCACGGCCAACAACCCGTTTCACCTCTTTCGGGCACTTTCTTTTTCAGCTTGTTGCACGTGACTTGGCTCACACACTCCCTGTTTCGCGTCAATCGTGCAGAGCATTTCCCTGCACATTCTACAAGCGACAAGATGCTGTCTTTTGACTCCGCCTTTGGCTACGTTGGCCTCGTTGCCATCGAGCACCTCATCGTGTGCCTCTACTTTAGCTTCCGTGTCGGCGGTGCCCGCAAGAAATGGAAAATTGGCGTATGAGTCCGCCCCCTGATCACATGCCGCTTGGCCTGCTTATGCTTGCCACGCTTACGATATCCTGACTCTGCCTTGTTTCTTGTACCCCTGCCACCTCGTAGTACCCCACCATGTATGCCCGTCCCGGTGATGGCAAGTGCACCACCAAGAAGGGTCAGTATCGGCCTGGCCTCGATCATGCGCACCAAATTCATATCTGATGCGGTGCAGCTCATCGTGAATGTTTTGCACACAGACGCCGACCTCTTCAACTGCGTTCAGCGCGCACACCAGAACCTGCTTGAGAACACCCCTACCTTTTTGACCCTTCTTTTCCTCGCGGCCATCAAGTACCCCCTTTACACCGCCATCGGTGCGTCATAATACCAATAAGGACCGCCCGGGTTTGCTTTGAAGCGTGTTTCCTCTGCCATGCCCAGCGCAAACATGTCCACTCTTTCTCATCTTTTCGATTTTTTTTTTTTTTTATGTATGTGTATGGCTGGTATCTAGGTGGTCAAGTTTACGTGGCCTCGCGCTTTTTCTATGCTCTGGGCTACTGCACAGGCGACCCGGAAAAGCGCCACCGCGGTTCTTTTGGCTACATTGGCCTCATTGCCATGTTGGGCATGGCCATTCACTCATGCTACAGCATCATCACGGCCTAAAGATCTCTCTCCCATGCTGGTGGACCGTCTAATTGCAGTCTTGCTATCCACTCACCTAGATTCATCTCATAAATACCACGGCAAATGTTTGCAAATCCGTCGAGGCACCCACTTGCATGGCACACGTCTAGAAATGTACATTCTTTGTACATGCAATTACACATCTAAGGGCTGGGTAGACCGAAGCAGGCACAGCCTGCCAAGAAACAAACAAAAAAACAGTTCACACCATCATGGTCCAGCCGTACACAATAATCACATGAAGAGCTTTAATCCTTAAGAACTGAGCAGTACGTGCTCAAGCGCCTCAAGCTGTCCGGGGTTGCGATGATAGAGCTTCACGAGGGATGTGTCTTCCCAGGCCTCGTCTCCACCCATGGCATCTGTGTTGCTATCGGCTTGTGCGCCTGGCGTCATGGTGACACAAAGCACCACACCATCCAAGTCCAAATCTTGAACATATTCCGAGGACAGGTATACATCTTCAACGACATGGCGAGGCAAAACAATCAACGTGCGCAGGCGCGTCACCGCCGCTTGGCCCACGGCCACGCACTCCTCCCAGACCTCTAGAAAGTGGAGTTCCGAGGGAGTGACGGCTACGAGAGCCTCGCCCAGCGCACGCATCACGCCAACCGAATGTTCCTCCTCGGCCGCTCCGTAGGTTTCCACCAGGTCCGAGTCGTCGTGTAGCACGACGCGCTCTCGTGCCACCACCACAAAGCGCTGGACAAGTACAGCATCCGAGGGCAGCTCATCATCGGCACCGGCTCGCCGCGCCAGCGTTGCCGCAGCCGTACGAGCCGATGTCGCGGCTGTGCGATCCAAACCACGGCACAGCTTGCCAAAGGTGTCCATGGCTTGACCCAAGGCCTGGCGCTGGGTTGGTGCAGCTGTCAAACGCAGCAGTTCACCACAACACCAACGATAGAAACTTATTCGCTGCAAGGGTAGAAGATGCAGGCGCCAGAATGACAACGCCGTGGGGGCGTGCTGACTATATTTGGCGCGGCACAGAAAGCTACGCAAAAGGGCACTGCGTTCCATGGCGGCACCAAACCGATGCAGACCATTCTCAACATTTCGCAAAAGCGTTTGCAGGGTCGGGCGCAAGGTTTCCGCCAGCTCGAGGAGCGCCTGCGCCAGTCGATCAAGCGCGCCCAGCGTGCCGCTGGCATCTTCGTTCTCCTCTGCTATGGCCAATTCGTCCATCCCTGCCAACAGATCGTTGAAAAAGGCTTCGTGCACCTCGATCAGCTGCAGCCAGTCCCAGAACATGGCCACAAATTCTTCGAGCGTCAAAAACTCTTGCTCCTCCTGTAATGCGCGCGGTAGAGCACGCAGGGGTGGGCGATCACCTCCCTCATGCCGCTGCAGCGTCCGTAGGGCACGGTCAATGACGTTGTGCGTGAGACCTCGGTCGCGAAGCACCACCACGAGCGGTTGAATGTTGAGCCATTGATGCAAATCCAAGAGGTCGAGATAGTCTTGCTCGGCACGCGTCAAGACGCGCCAGGCAACGGCGGGTGAGGTCACGGGAAAGCCCAGAGCATAGTCAATAACGCTTTCGGGCTGCAACTGAAACGAGCGTCGCTCCAGGGTCAGCGCCTCCACTGCTGCCTCGGTGTCCACGTCTCCTTGTATAAGGAGATCAATGCGGTCGGCATAGGTTAGGCTGGCCAGGCCAGCGGCATCGCCAGCCTGATGCTTGCTCAGTAACGGGGCCTCAACCCAGCGCACCATCTCCTCGTCCAACTCATCCATGGCCGTTTCTAGATCGAGATCTAGATCTTCCTGGACCTCGATGAGGCGTTGCAAGCGTGGTATGAGCCGGCTCATGCCCTTAAGCTTGGCCTGTGCGTTGGTTCGTGCTTCATCATGCTCTGCTGCCAGGCGCTCAAGAATTCGCGCCTCCTTCCGTGCCTCATCACCGGCCTTGTCCTCAATAGCCAGAGCATGACGCTTCTCGGCCATGGCCGTTTCCAGCAATCGAATGAGTTCGGCCCAGGATTCAACGCTCAAGTCGTTGTCGTGCCGCAGCAGCTGAAGCCAGTTTAAAACGGGCCGAAGCTGCTCCTCAAGTGCAAGCCAGCGATTCCAGCCTACAATGTGGGTGATGATTCGGCACCAGTGGTGGTCAATAATCGCATCTCCATGTAGGTCCAGCTGCGACTGCAGCCAGCGACGGCCAGCCACGACCAGTTCATGCAGCAGTCCGGCCGAGCGTCGCCAGGTGGCCAGCGGCGTGGGCAGGAAGAAGCGTCGCCCCTCTGGAGAGATGCCACCCAGCAAACGAGCATCAAAGGCCAGGTCTGCCGGGTGAGCTATAACGTCATTGGATACGGTGACCGTGCGACCCAAGATCAAGCGCAGCTGATTGACCAGTTCGAGTCCCGCCTCTAAGAGGAGATATGAGCAGATGAGCCGACACGCGGTTGCACAGCGTGTACCAGAACAAAAGGGAGTGAGATACGCGACAGGCATACTAGCGCCGGAGATGCTGGACATGACGACCCACGGGTTGGAGGCGACCAGCACAGTCATACCGGCATATAGTAAACGTGGTGCAAATAGGTGAAGCACTCCCTTGTCGGGGCGAAGACATGCGGCCAGGCCAGACAAGAAGCTTTGGATGCGCTCTTCTTCTAGGTTGAGGTGGGTCAGGCATAAATCTTCACATGGCACGGTGGGTGAGCTGGGCGGTGGGGGAGTACTGCCTCGCAAATGCGGCCTGACACGGAAGGCATGTACCTGGGGCGATCCGCAGTTGGCCTGGGGAGGCATGCGCCACGAGGCCCAACCCGTCAAGAAGGCGATCTGCAGCTAGATTGGTGATGCGTTGCAAAAGGGTGCTCGAATCCACCTCTGTTCAAAGGCACCCAGAGGCGGTGATGAGCGGCATCGGCTCAAAAGGTGGCAGACGCTTGTTCGGTATGGCCTGGGGTTGCGTCACTTGCAGTCCTGCTCTGCCCAAGCGCGACTGGGGAATTTGCACACACCTTCGAATCGATAGAACACGGGAGTGCCCATTACGGCGTCTTGCAAGAGTTCGGCTGCCACCATTTCAGAGCTAATCAGGACCACGTCTGCTGCCCCACTTTCAGACGCATGCTGTTGGCCTACGGGAGTCTGTGGCCCAGAGGTGAGACGTCGACGTTACGATCGGAGCGGCGCGTATGCGTTTGCAAGGAGGTACCTCGAGCTTGACGGCGGTTTCGGCGGCAGCCAAGACTTTTTGTGTGGCAGTTTGATATTGGCCCAAGAGACCATTGAGGAGCTCGTTCTGCTGGCGCTTGAGCTCGCGCTGCTCTGCGGCAAAGGCCAGCTCGCGCTGGTGTTCTTCAATGCCATGAAGCTGATCTTGAACCTGCGCAGCAAAAGCCTTGGCCTCGACGCCATGCAAGGCCTCGGTTTGATCCAAGACCGATTGATTGGGCAGCTCGCCCTGTCGAACCCGGTGGTAGGACTGCAATCGTCGAGCCGTGTTCTGCACAAACACCAGATCCTCTGGGGGCTGATGAAAAAGCAGATCCACCCAAAACTGTTGGCGTGTGTGATCGTCCTGATGTGACAGCCATTGGCCCAGCTCCATGCCATTCACTGCCATCATGCCCCACTTCACAGACGGGCACAACCCTGTTCAGTTGAGCACACAAACATGCACACGCACAAGAGCGCGCGCGCGTCCCCCTCTCCCCTCGTAGCCCAGGCCAGGGGCCACACACCAACAAGGAAGAAAGGGAGAGAGAAAAAGTCGTCTGACCCTCTGAAATTTTAAATTTCGCAGAGAGAGAGGGAGAGCTTGAGGAACTTCAGAAAGCTTCAGAGAGAGCTTCAGAGAGAGAGCTTAAAGAGAGAGAGCTTGAGAGAGAGAGAGCTTGAGAGAGAGGGAGAGAGAGCTTGAGAGAGAGAGAGAGCTTGAGAGAGAGAGAGCTTGAGAGAGAGAGCTTGAGAGAGAGAGAGAGAGCTTGAGAGAGAGAGAGAGAGAGCTTGAGAGAGAGCGAGAGCTTGAGAGAGAGAGCTTGAGAGAGAGAGCGTGAGTGTGTGTGTTTATTCATGAGAGAGACAAAAAGAGCATCACTAACGATGACAAACAGAAGCATCCCATGTAGCAGCAGCAGTCGTAGTGGGAGCAGCAACAAGACAGAGGGCGCAGAGGAGGGGGTGCGAGGGGGTGCGAGGGGGTATGAAGGGGAGCGGAAGATTGCGGGGGCTTTGGGGAGCAAGGGTGGGGATCTAATGAAAGCTATGGAATAAATGCACAGTTCTGGCTGGTTCATTTTGCAGCTGGAGCTGGGGTTCGCGGTGAGGTAGTCCACAAGTTCAAAGGAGCAAAAAGGCTAAAAAGTGCCAGACAGTTTGGGCTCATTTTACACCATCGGGTTGCGCCAGGCGGCCATCTCGTTTGAAAACAATAGATGCGCTCGGAGATCGTGGCTGGGCGAGTTGAGCGTGATTGGGCGCAATGATGTGGGGCTGGAGTCTTCTTTTGGTGGGGTGGCTCGCGGGAGCAGCGGCCCGCCGTCACGTTTTGATGTTTGTCATCGATGATCTTGGTCAGTGGCGCCAGCCAGCGTTGAAGTTTGATCGCACGGCGACTGGCGGGTAAGCTCACTGGATCGGCGCGTGGCTTGCCCTGCTGGGCGGTTGAACGTGGCTGTGCTAGGCTTCACGGACGTCAGTTACAAGAATCAAACCTACCCTGATGTGGCCTTTGGTCCCATGATCCCGACCCCCAGCATCGACGAGCTGGCTCTTTCTGGCGTACGTCTGGAAAGTTACTACGTGAACCAGGTAGCACTTGTCGCCGGCATGCGCACTGCTGTGAGGCTTTTGAAACTCCTATCCGGCTCCTCAGTTCAGCCTTGAACCATCCAATGATCGAGCATGCAGCTGTGCAGCCCTACTCGGACCAGTCTGCTCAGCGGGCGCTATGCCTACACTCTGGGCATGAATGCCGAAGTGATCGTGGACGGTCATCCAGATCAACTCCCTTTGACCGTCAAAACCATCGGCGAACACCTTCAAGGTACTCCTATTCTGCACCCTCTTCACCTCTTGCGCTTCGGTCGATACCAAACGTCCCCATTATTGCAATTTCAGCTGACCGCCTGACTTGCTGGTGTGCTGGCATTAGAGGGGGGCTGGGCCACTTTTGCCGGGGGCAAGTGGGATGCCGGCATGACCTCCTGGGGCTGCACGCCTACATGTCGAGGCTTTGACACTTTTAGCGGTTTTTACAATGCTTTCAATGGTCAGTGCTTTCTCCTTTGCAGCAAACTCTTTGAGCTGGCTTGCCTGTGGACACTGCTGTTCCAACTGAATTCCAACTGAAATCTTGTAGATTATTTTACACACCGCGTCGGCAATTATCTGGATTTGCGGCACGACTTTGCCCCCGATCTTGCGGATGACAACCACACTGGCGTCTACATGACCGAGTTGTTAACCTCGCGCGTCCAGCAGTTTATCACCACGGCCGCTGAAACTGAAGTCAGTGTGTACACGTTCGAACCCACTCTAGCCATCTCGCATTCTTTGGTGCCACCTCTTCTCATATGCACGATGGCCCACCCTTTGCCAGCAATCCACATTTGCTTACGTGGCCCATCAGGCTGTCCATGCACCTAATCAGGTGCCCATGTCCTATCTTGAGGTGTGCCCAGAAGACTGCTGACCTTTTGTGAGACGACTGATCAGGGGAGACACGACCAAGCTCTTGCTCAGGCATCTCCACCACGCGACAGGGCTACTGCTTGGATACCATTCCTGAAGACCGCCCTACTCGCCGAATTTTGTGTGGCATGATGCGGGCCGTGGATGAGAGCGTGCGCAATATTACCGCAACATACAAAGTAAGAAAGTGCAAAGTCGGAGTGCGGTCACCAAAAGCAGAGGCGACGGGATCTAATTATTCGCAGGCCCTCACTCCGCCTACCCGCTTGCTGCACTTGCGGCCCGTCATGATCACAAATGGCCGTCATACCACTCATGAATCCTCTTCAGCAACTTGGTCTTTGGAACGACACTGTGCTCATCTTTACCACAGATAATGGTGGCAACCCGGAGACGGGTGGCTCGGTACGTCTAGCCCAAATGCATTCTACGCACATGGGCATTTGCAACTGCTGTGACGGCTCATTGACTCCTCCTTGCTCCGTCATGCTGACAGAACTATCCTCTTGTAAGCATTTGCCGCTGGCGTCTACAGTGGCTGTGGGTCATGATGATGATCAATGCCATTGCTTTTATGTGTTCTCATCACCACTTGTTCTGGCCGGTCACAGCGTGGCCAAAAGGCCACCACTTTTGAGGGTGGCATGAGAGGTGTTGGCTTTGTCAACTCGCCCCTGTTGAACGAGTAGGCTCCAATTTCGCCTGTCTTTGCCAGTTGAACAGCCCACAGCTGCCACGTGTTGTCACCATGCTCGCACCGTCTGTTACCAGGTCACAACGTGGCTTTATCTCCGACGAGCTGATCCACGTTTCGGATTGGTGAGGCCACTACTTTTAATTTCACTCAGCACCTGTCTCATATGATGACACGGATGGCTGGGTCAGTTCATCGGTCTGGTTCATTGGCATTGTTTCAGGCTCCCAACCATTGTGCATGGTATCGCTGGCTTGTCTCTGGGCAATTTGAGTCGTCCTGGATTGCCCCCGCCCCCGCCTCTTGGTGCGTCAACGCTTGAATTCGTTGGTCCATACCTGATTGCGGGATTTTGATTTTAACTGGTTGGCTGTCCTCACTTGTAATCACCATAGATGGCATTGATCAGTGGGCTACAATTGCGCAAGGAAAGCCCTCGCCGCGCACTGAGCTGCTACTGAATCTTAACCCGACCGGTTGCAAGCTTGATTCCGGGTCGTGCCGGGTGCGTTCTTGTGTCATCGAGCCGCGTTTTGCTATCGGATTGAAAAGACTTTGCCCTCATGCTTTCTCCTCCTTCGAGCTGTTGCAGTACTATGGCCAGAGCGCCATTCGTGTGAACCAGTGGAAACTTTTGTACGGGTTCACCTCGGTGTGGAAGGGTGGCCTCAAAGAGTCGTACTACTGCACTCTTCGATCGGGCGAGGTGTGCTCCTTGTCAGCCTGGGTCACGATGTGCAAAGCAGGCCGCTAAGTTTGCGTCCAACTTACCTAGTCGCCATGATCTCACAGGCGCAGCCCAATAGCTCTCCATTACCCATTATTGCGGAAACATCGACCATGTGGTGTCCCAACGGATGGACACCACCCCCGGAATGGGGCGCGCCTCCCCTCCCACCACCAGACGTCAATTGCAGCTGTATGTGGTGCCCGCCTTCTCAGATATGCAGCCATGTTGCCGCTCGCGCGGCAAGAAAAGCGAGCTCACGCGAATTTTTTTTTTGTTTTTTCGAGTAGCCTTGCCTTGCAATTTCAATGCGTCCGCTTATGAGGCAGGTGGCATCTTCCTCTTTGACGTTGTCAACGACCCCTTTGAGCACCACAACGTCGCAGCACAAAACCCCGACGTAGGTTCAAGATCTGGATTCCTGTGTGAGCAGGGCAGTCAAAGCGCTTTTCCTCATATGCTGCGAGATTAGCCCCTCTGCAGTGGCTGGCTAGGCTTGACGCATGTTTGAACACAACTCTCCACCCTCACCCCACCTCCAGGTCGTAGCTGATCTACTTGCGCGCCTGCGGGTGTACAATGACACACAAATTCCCCAGGTTGGTCTTGCTAGCGCCTCTGTGGTTGCAGCCAGTGGTTCAAACACTTCAAATGGACCCCTTTCTTTGCTTTTTTTTTTTTTTTCGCATCAGGCCAACTCGCCCATGGACGCCCAGTCCAATCCTAGCAAGTTTGGAGATGTGTGGACGCCATGGCGAGGAGACCCAACTCCCTCGCATTGCTCCAACAATGTTACTTGTGCGTCGATCAATGGCTGCTACTGTGTGGGGAAGTGGGGGTGCGCTTGGTCTGTGCATGGGCTCATATCACTGCTTTGCTCAGCCCCTGAGGATGGCTTGCATTCAAACTTTGATGGCCTCGTCTATCCTTCCACTGGTCCCTGCTTTCTGCAAGGGTATGGTATACCCGCCTTGCTGTCTTGCTGGGAGATGCTGAGGAGCTTGATATGTCATAATGAGCCGAGTGGATGCCGTTGATATCCTCCAACCCTTTGTCCTGCGCCATTTTCTCACACATGTTCTTGGCGGGCCTGGGGTTTTACAGCTGGGTTTGGGACGATAAGTTGGCTGGAGGCGGGACGCCCCCACTCAATGTTACCGTCTCGGTTGACGGCCAAATCCACGGCCCAGTTCTTGCCAACATTTCGCGCAGTGGGTTACCTAGCAAGACGGGTGCACCGAATACCGAGCATGGGTTTGACATCGACCTATTGTAAGTGTCAGGCCAAGTTGTTGCTTTGGCGTTGGGGGTCGATGATGGCGTCATCTCAGTTTGCCTTGGCCACGTCCAACCCCATAGGGATGCCGTTTGCGTGGCGCTCAAGTCTGGAAGCCATCGATTCACAGCTGAAGCGATTGTGCCACCATCCGGAGCCATAGTGGCACTTGCTCAGAGTCCGTTGTGCTGGCTGAATGGTGCCGCTCACCCATGCTGACCCGTTAATAATCGACCTGCGACCCTCGAAAAGAACACTCAAAAGGGAAAGGACGAATTCCCGATGATGCTGGCAAGATTGTCAATTGCGACTCGTCGCCTTGTTTGGCACACACAGTCAAATGCCATAAGTGAACAAGTCATGACTCCAAACATACTCATGCTTCATGTCATCTTTTTTTATTTTTAAAGTTCAAGTGTCTGATGTGGCAATTTTCAACTCGTTTGTTCAAGTTTGTTCAACGGCAAGATGGCAGCGCTTGGGGATTTGACTGAAGAGCAACAGAAGGCCGTGGTGGCCCTCTTGAATCAGCGGCCCACTATAGCCGAGGCCATGAAGAATGTGTTTAGCCATTTCGTTTCCTACGGCATGGCGGCGACGACCTGTCACACACTCTGTCGTCAAGTCCTGGTTGGCGTGAATGCTTGCGTGTTGGATCTTGATGACCTCGAGCCCCAGCAAGCGGAGGAGGAGGGTTTGGTGTATCTAGAGCGGTTGGCACGCCACCGAGCTGCGGCCTTGACCTGCCGACTTTTGGCAAAGAGGGGTCAAAAGCCAACCAAAAGCTGCGGTCTGAATTATCTGCGTGAGGTTTGGCCGCGTATCCGAGCTTCCGTGCTACCTCAAGACGATGAGGCCACCGAGGCCCAGGCCACTGCAGCTACGGCGAGGGATCACGCATCGACTTCTGAGGAGTGCAGCCCCGAGGAGCAGTTTGTGACTTTTTTGGATTCTGAGCTGGCAAAGGAAAACTCCGACTACTTTGCCAGCAACTTTTTGCTTCGCGTTCACGAACGCGCCAAGGCGCGCCATGACCAAGCGGCGCAGTCAACGGAAACACCCCAGGATAGCTCGGAGCCTTACATACCAACTGTGGAGGAGCAAGCAGCGCGCCAGAAGATTCAGGCCATGCTTCTCGAGGGCAAGTAGAGCCAAACGCTTGTGCAGGGTAGCTGCGCTACCTGCCACTGATCGCCCAGTGCACTGTGTGCATGGTCTCCAGCCAAAATTGTTAGGTGTCGGCGTTGTGTTCATCTTGCCAGTTGTGTGCGAGCTCAGCCATCTCCATCCAAATTACATCACATCCAATGCACCAATGTCACGAATGGATTGACCCTGATTTGGAGGGTATGACACTCGCCCCCGCTCTGATACAGCCAATATTATTTACAAGTGGAGACAACAAAGTCTCGGTCGTTTATGTGGCCACTTGGCAGCACGTCGATATGCGGCGCCAAAGGGATTGCGGCAGTTAACACAAGAAGCGGGGCAGAAAACACACGGAAGAGGAGGGATGAAAGTACACACAGCAGCCACAGATCGCAGATCAGAGTGGCGCGATTCACTCCCAACAAGAGGATAGAACATTCAAAGAACACATGGCCTTGCTTGAGCAGCAGCGGCCTGGCACATCGCGTGCATGTCAGGCAGCTCACCCATGTCAAGTCACTCAGATCTCTACGCGACTCAGGGTGGATGAGCTGGCCAGTCGACGGTCTGGAATTGACCCGCGACCAAGGTGAGCCTCGGCCTCGGTCAGCAAAACTTTGCTGGCACCGGCCTGGCGCTCCTCGATAATGGCGACAAGCGCTGCCAGCTTTTCTTCAGCATAGCCGCGCCGCCTTCGCTCTGCTTGAAGTTGGTCAAAGTGCTGCATCGAGCCGCGAAAAAATTGATCGAGCACGCGCGTCCACGAGACAAGGAGAGGATGAGAGATTGTTGCGATGTGAGACGCATGCGCGATGGGCATCGGCAGGGGTCGTGGTTTGCCAAAGTAGAGCAGGCAGAATTTCGAGTCAGAGTTGGGCCGCACCTCCTTCATGGTTTGCTCGACATCGTCGGCAGCCTCTTGCTGGGCACGGAAATGCTCGCCTTGCTTCTCGAGCTGTGAGCGACTGTTGCGAAGCTGCTGTTGCAACTCTAGATTTTGGCGCCGAAGTGACTCGGCAGTCTCTCGCTCGGTCTGAACATCCACCGACAATCGCTCAATCTGCCAAGTTGAGCTGCGAGTGTGAGCCGCGGTGATCACTGTGGCCTCTTAATTTGTTGGGCGGTACGCCAAGGCGCGAGTCAGACAACGGACCTCTTCTTTGAGTTTGCGCACGCTCTGCTCGACGACAATGATTTGCTCACGCAGCGCGTGATTGGCATCCTCGAGCTGCCAGCGTTGCTCCTTTTCTAGCTTGAGTTCGGTCACCACTTGCAGACGCTTGGCTGACTCTTCCTTGAGACACTCTTGAACGTGCTGGACGATAGTAAGAGCAGGATACAGGGCAAATCAAGTACAACGCATGAGCTCGGACGTTGGAAGGAACAGACTGCAAAGAGCAGTTCGCGAACGTGCCTGGATCAAGCGACCCTGCGCTGGATCTGGAAGACGGCGCTGCACATTTTTCTGCGTCACAAAGGTCAATTGAGGTCCAGCACGATACAGCATACGCAGGCAAAGGGTGACGTGTGTAGAGGTCGGACACAAGCGGCGACGTGGATAGATACCTCGGTCGATAGCGAGGGCAGGAAAGAGATGGAGTGTGCACGGCGCATGCCGGCAGGGCCAGATGGAAGTTGGCGACGCCGGCGCGGTGTCATGTTTTCTATAGTGGTTGGCATGTGAATGATGAGAGGCCTGATGCAGGAGGTATGGCTCTTGTGCGGTCAGGACACGCGGCCATGAATCAACGCGTGTGGTTTGAGTGAGGCCCGAGCCACCTACTCGCATCGTTGTTATCAGCCTTGTTGATGAGGCTGACTGGCTTCAAGGGGCTGGGCGACATCTGCAAAGACGACAAACGCAGACGGAGGAGTGGAATGACCGCCATGAGCAAGAGTCGATGCTGGCCACGAAGCAGGGGGCACGACGCCGGCGACCACGTACGGAACGGGAGCTACCCATGCTGGAGCGTTTGACCGTGGCAGGTAAATTCTCTTCAGAAAGACGCTTGGCATCCGACATTTTCAGGTTGGATAACCGGCAAGAAAAAAAAAAAGGCGGCTGATGATGGACCGTGGGCCAAAAGATGAATGACGACAGCGATGTCACGCGCTTTGCTGAGGACAGCACCGCAGCGGGCGGGGAGAAGCAGGAGAAGGAGAAGAAGAACGGAGGAGGACAGGCAGTCAGAAGGAGGCTCAAGGAAACGACATAAACGAGGAAAAAATACACGAACTCAAGAGTGACGACGACGGCCCTGAGGCGAGCGAGCAGAGCGCGCGCGAGAGAGAGAGAGAGAGAGAGAGAGAGAGAGAGAGAGAGAGAGAGAGAGAGAGAGCAGTTGCTTTCGCGTTCAGGTCATTGTTGACAAAGTTTGGCTGTGCATTGTAAGTTATTGTAGTTAACAGAAACGGTTATTGTGGTGTCAGGCAGATATGAACGCTAATTTACCACTATGCGGGTTCAGACTTGTTGCTGTGTTGACAGCGGGTAATTGCAGCTGGTGGTTTGTTGTAGGTGTTTGGCCGGGGGAGGTACAACAACAACTGCAGCCGTAATAGGTAGGACATTAGATGACAAAAAGTCAAAAAGGAGCGTCTCACTTGGTTGTCAGCATTTTCTCGGGTGCGGTGTGGATGATTTTTTGGATGGCTTCACTTGTCCATTAGGCCAACGCATGACCACAAATGCCTGAAACACGCTTGCACAGATAGGGCAACACAAAGAAACACCACCCACCTCGCTGCCCCGCAAAAAAGCAAATCAAAAAGAGAAGAGAAAAAGAAAAAAAAAAAAAAGGCCTGCGAGGCATCTCGTATCACTATGCGCTGCTTGCGTGATCGTCCTCTTGATACTGAAAGTCAAAGTTTGTCGGTGGTGCCGGAACCTGTACAAGCAAGTGTGAGTGAAGAGGTTGCCCTCGCCCCAACACAAACGAGTCAGTGGGTGGTAAGACATGCTTGACGTACCGCTGGGGCCGAGCCAAGCTCAATGCCATGCAGATTGAGCAGGTGCAAGCGGACCTCAAGCTGCAAAAGGTCATCAATCTCTCGAGTTGATTCAGGCTCTGTGGGCGCGCCACCTGTGAGGGCGCGGAGACCATCGATCCAGATGGCGGCGTCGCTCCGCTTGCCGGCGGTAAAAATCAACTTGTCGTCGATGCCAGCGCCCATGATGGCAAAGGTGCGATTAATCTCCTCTGAGTCCTTCTTCTTCAAGTTGGACACCTCTTCTACCTCTTCACCGACCAGCAGACACGCCACGTCGCGCACTTCGCCTACACACAGATTCAAAACCAAGTCGATCAGAGAGGATCACGATAAGTGCTCTGCCAAATTCCAGGATCATTGAGCGTGTGGCTCCGAGCGAGCGAGCGAGCGGCCAAATCTCACATTGATGTGTCATTTGAGGTTTCTCGGTAGACTGATCCTTGTTGATGGGGTCACTCCAGCGCAGCGTCTTGTGATTCTGCGACAGCTCAGCCAGGAACGCCAATTCTACGCATGGGTCCCGACCACAGCACCTCGTGAGTGTCCAAGCAATTGACAAGGGTCAATGTTCTTCTGCGTCACGCAATCATCCAAAAAGTGGGATGCCCGAGGCTCACCGCGTTTTTGACGACCCTTGACCCAGGCCGTGAAACGCAAACCATGCTCCATGATCTTCCAGTGATGCGAGCGAACCAGCTTGACCATGTCCTCGCGCAGCTTGCGCTCCAACCGCTTGACTGGCTCAGTCAGGATTTGCTTGTGCAAGGCCTCCTTTTCCGCCATTCGTTGGCGATCCAACATCTTCTCGTACGAATTGCTCGTCAGGACCTCGTTGAGACGATCCTTGTCCGTAATGGCCTCTGGTGCTGCAAACGCCACCTCAATTTGTCGGCGCGTCATAATCACCACCTTGTCAAAATCTTCTGTCCGCGCCTCCATCTCGCGCCATGTCCGGAGCGCCAGGTGTGTGCAGTGGACAAAGAGCTAATACACATTGAGCCAGGAGCAGGTACGAGCATGAGTTCCAGCAGGTCGACTGGGCAACGGGCAGGGGTCAAATTCTTGTCTCGGGTTCACACATGCTCAAGTCTGACCTCAAAAAATGCCTGTGACGATGTGTACAAAAAGGGGAAAAAGTGCTCTGACGTTGTGTCGGCTGCAGGAAACACATTCAATCATGGCAACATGAGCACACCGCAAGCAAGGCCGCAGTCAAGTGATCAGGACCGAGTCAGTTGAAAGCAAACAGAGAAAAAAAAAAAAAAAAGTGGTCGACGCAGCGGCTCTGCCCGGTTTTGCCACGTATGAAAAGTCACTCACGATCTTGGCCCGCGCCGAGAATATCCAACAGAATCAAGAGCACCTGTTGTAGCACAAGCACAAGTCTGTGAGCGTGCACGTACGCCGGCGAGTGCCCTCATGACAAAACCCAAAATTGGGCGAGGTACATACTTGCTGCGACATGCGCACAAAAGAGCAGCCGTAGCCGGCTGGTCGCGAAACCTGCTCCAGCACCAATTGCTCATAGAGCTTTTTTTCAAACAACGTTGACGTGAGCGCCACAATCATGTTGAGCAAGCTGCAGCTGCAGTGGCAGGGCGCAAGGTCAAGGCGCAAAAAGACTCACCTTGGCATCAATGTCAATAAATTTGACCAGGGCATCGAGCGTCAGCACGCCTGGAGTGGACAGCAGCTCGGGTGACTCGGTCACATCCAACGAGTTTTCAAAGCCCAACATCTTGTAGAGCTTGTCTCGCTTGATGTCTTTCTCCTCGTTCTCACCGCGCAGCGGGTCAGTCAACATGTCCAGCTTTTTAACGCAATCCTGTCGACAAGCACACCCCAACGACCCAGCATCGTTTTGCAGTGTTGCATACAAAGGGGTGCATTGAGCGAGGGCAACATGTGCTGCAAGGTAAGTGCGTCCAAAAAGAAAAAAAAATAAAAATGAAACAAAAACATAAAAAAAAAGTAGACAGTACCGTGTCATCTGTGGTGAAAAAGTAGTGGCTGCGCTCGTAGTAGCGCCGGAGCCAGAGCCGCTGAAAAACGTCTGTTACACATACACCAACGTGTGAGGATCACTCAAGTACACCTACAGAGGCAGCAAACGCATTCTGGACGCACAGAGCTGATGACGGGTTCCCTCCACGGCCAACGAAGATCGAGCTACGCTGCTCAGTGTCTTTACCACTTTTGAGTCTTGCAATAGAGTAAATAGCTTCTGCGCAAGGTTGGACCGGTAACATGAGAGGCACGGGCATGCAATGGATGGAGATGACCCGCACGTATGGGTAAGCATTACATTTGGACGTACCTGGCGCTCCAGGGGCCGCACCGTCTTGCGCATGATAACGTTGAGAAAAGGCAAAGCATGCTGTTTGGCAAGTTTTTCGTCACTGGCATGATTGGGTGGAATCATCGTGAGGCAAGATAACACGTGTCAGTCGTTGATCAGCGGCGACGGGTGCAACCATGCCGGGGTATACAGCGAGGCGGAGCCTTACGAGTTCATGTAGTTGATGACGTCCTCCACTTGCATGTTGCGGCTGAACTGGGTCATGCCATCAGCGCTGCGCTCAATGTACAATGCCAGCAACTCGTAGGTTTGGTTTTGACCAAAGACCGGCTGTCGCGCAGCCGACTTGATAAAGGCAAAGAGCTAAGAGCAGACATTGCCAACACAGACATTGCCAACACCAGTGTCAGTTGCGATTCGGGATGGACTCTCAGGTAGGCCTGGCGCTCGACAAGCGCCTGGGGCGACACTGCTGGCAGCAGCACAAAAACTCCTGCCATCCCCGTCTGCGGCTCTTACAAAATCGACGAGCTCCTTTCGATCGTCAAAGCAGGTGATGGGCACGAGGTTGTGATGCATCAGCGTTTGCAGACACTGCACGGCATAACCAAATTCTGTCTTGTGGTCCGAGTTGCTCTGGTGCTGCTGCAAAAAGTCGAGCAGTTTGATGTGCCCTGAAAGCGGAGCGAAGTCCCTAGTAAGCACGACGATGACTCGGGAATGGTCTTGCTTCAGGCGCATCAATCTGGCTCGGAATCACACCTTTGTCCTGCACAAAATGCCGCGAAAAGTCGACATCCTTGACTAAAGTTTTGAGCTGTTCCAAAGTCTTGTTGGGGGCCTTGGATGAAAGAGCTTGCAATGCTTGCGCGGCGCGCGCGTGCTGTTTGAACAATACACACATATCATGTGTCAAGAAGTTGCAAAACAGTGTGGGTACGGACGACACAAGAGCTAGGGCACGAACTGTGGCGAGTTCCAGCTGAAACACGGCGCCATTGCACAACAGCTGCTCGCGGTTCTGCCGATAGGCAAAGTTCAAGTTGTTCAAGTTGAGGAATGTGGTGAGAAAAAAAAAAAAAGGCGGGGGGGGGGAGGAATTTTTGAGTCCAAATGGGTTTTGGTAAGACGGGGCTGCAATGACCTGCCTCTTCTTTCAATATGGTCTGTGTTTTCTGATCACGCAGCTGATACTGGCTTGGGTCGGCCAGCTTGAAGGCCTTGCAAAACCCATCGACGATACTGCTCAACTCGTTGCTCTGCATCACAAAGGCCAGCATCAGACAAGCAGTGGTAAACAGAGATGGGGCGTGGCAGGCTTGTTTGCTGATTGAGATCGATGGCAGTGAAGGGAGGCACGTACCAAATTGACTTCCTGCAACGAAGGCAGGCTACTTTCATAAGTGCAGCCCACCTTGACCGTGCCCGGAGTACTCTTGTTCATGGCGCCGGTCTGTTTGGAACTGCTTGTCACGCGAATGGACAGGCGTCAACTGATCAAGACGCATAGGTCAGATGCCAGTCCTTGGCAGTACAGTTGCGACTTACCGTGTTCCAACCTCGTTGCAACCGCCTCACGTGACACGCTGTCCAGCCGTTGAGATTGGGCTGTGGACAAGCACAACGTTGTCTGGTGAGGTGCAGTGAAACGCAGCCAGCTCAGCGATCCAGCGGGTCTTCTTGTCAACACCTTGTGTACCAAGAACCCGTCATTCCAGGCCAGATGGTGCTGTGGCCATGACAGCACCCACATATCCCACCCACACGAGCACACCACAGACACAGACACAGGCACAGGCACAGGCACAAGGGATGATCGGGACGTACCCCAATACCACTAGACGATGCCAGTTCAGTCAGTACCCCCTCCCACCGCCGCCCTCTTCCAGGGACTTGTGATTTGACGTCCAACAAAGGGCAAAGTCCCTCCCCCGTTTTGTTTGCTCTCTCTCTCTCTCTCTCTCTCTCCCTCTCTTTCTCTCTCTTTCTCTCTCTCCCTCTCTTTCTCTCTCTTTCTCTCTCTCTCTCTTTCTCTCTCTTTCTCTCTCTCTCTCTAAATCTCTCTCTCTCTCTCTCTCTCTCTCTCTCTCTCTCTCTCTCTCTCTCTCTCTCTCTCTCTCTCTCTCTCTCTCTCTCTCTCTCTCTCTCTCTCTCTCTCTCTCTCTCTC